CACTCTTTCAAAAAGGAAGATGAATATTAGGTTTCTATTTTTTTTCTCAAATTTTAGATTTAAAGAAATGAAATTTGGTGGATATTTTCCATTAATAAAGAGGATACTAATTAATATTTTTTTAATTCTCCCATATAGTTATAAAAGGATAAAACTAGCAACCCCTATTCAATTTTTTATTAGAACTTTTTAACGGGCCAGAATGCGATCATTTAAAAATATGCGTTAGAAAGCTTGATACCTTTAGAAACTTTTTTATTTTTTTTATTTTTTTCCTAAAATTGTTAAAAAAAAATAAAATAAAATAAAATAAAATATATTATCATGCACAGCAAGGTGCTAAATGGCATAGATTTTGAATTACGAGAAGTTGAATTTTAGAATAAAAAAAAAACAAGCAAAACAAAATTATAGTAAATATTGGAAAAAAATGAAACAACAACAAAATAAAATTACAATAAATGTTGGAAATGACCGCCCTCTTTGGAGGAATGTAACTCCTCGGAGAAAGATATAGCAGTATATGTTTATATGAGAAAGAACCCCCTTAATTTTTTACAAAGAATCATCCCCTAAAATTTTTCGCATTTATTTAGAATCACTCTGTATAATAAATTCGCATGACGATAAACTTCTTCGAAAGAATTATAATAGTTCTTTTTCCTTAAATAAAAAATTTCCCTCATTTCTCTCAATTAATTTGAAATGAACTTTATATTTAAGCGGAAGCTTAATTCGAGCTTTAATTTCCGAGGACGAAGACGAATATTTATGAACGGTTGATCCTTTCTCCTTGCAGGAGTCGATACGATCCCGCGTGGCGATGGATTTTACCGGTAGTGTGGGCAGGATAGTCGAGGATCCCAAGGAAGCTAAGGACATAGCCGAAAACGAGGGTATGATTTGGCGACGGAGATGGCGACCATTCTCGCGTACACCACCGGGTTGCGCTATGATGAGGCTGCACGGTCTCGACGGTGGCATACATGTTCTTCAACCTTGGTTCCACGGCGGTCTCAAGAGGGATGTCGCGGCGGCCATTATAAGGGATCACGGTAGTGTCGACGGGTAAGTTTTAATCGATTTTTTATTTATTTATTTATTTATTTATTTTTTTATTTTTAATATGAACTAAATCGTTAGAGTTATAAGTCTTGAAAAGTTTTGAAAAGTCTTTATATTTATCTTTACGTCAACTTTATTCCTAAAGAATTTGACTTAATCGTGCCAAGGTGTATTTAAACTGTAGAAAATTTAAATAAATTTTTTCTTACACTTTTACTTACTGAAGAATTAATTTGTATAAAAATAAATAACAAAATTTAAAAAAAAAAACGAGCGGGATGTGAGAAGAAGAGATGACGTTTTTTATCAAACTTTCGTTATGATCCGCTCTACTTTAAGGATGTTTTGGCTATAATAGCAAAAAACTGTCAAAATTAAAAAAAAAAAAACATTTTTTATGTTTATACTGTTTGAAGAATCAAATAAATAAATCCGGATTATAAAAAAAAATTAAAGTATCACAAAATAATATGGTTTTTGACGTCTTCGTAAAAGAAAATAGTTGTAATTAATATTGTTTCTAAT